CAGTCTCCACTCCCATCCCCCTCTCTGCCCGTCTCCTCCTCCTCGATACCCTCCCCCTCAGCCTTTCCCTGCTCCCTCCCTCCTGCTCAGCAGACGATATGCAGCAAGGCACAAATTCATTGGGGATAAAGAAACAGCGAAATACAGCTGGAGCATGGGAGTGGGGGTGGGGGGGGTCAAAAGAGAAATGCTTTGCACTACAAGGAAGCAAAAAGCAGAGCAAATGGTGGAATAACTGGAATGGTGGAGTAAAGGAGGAGGAGGTAATCAATGGGAGGCAGGGAGGGAGGGTGGGAGGAAGGGGAGGGAGCTACATTGGTGGGCGTTCCTCAGCTTGCACTTGGTGAGGTCAAAAGTTTACGATGGTTTTAATTTCACCTTTTCGCAGCCAATCAGAGTGGAGCTACGGCTACGAACAGAACTTTGACCCACACACAGAAGATCGACACACAATGTTTAGCCTCCAACTCAATTATCATTTTGTTCTCCGATTAAACTCTGTAATTGGAATAATTCGTCGCACTTTTTCCGAACACAAGTCCACTCTCACCGAGCAACAACGGAGGCACACCCCGCTTTGTACCAGCATGCTCAGCAGCGGGTGCATGAGTATGCATGTGTGCGTGTAGGCATGTAAGTGGGGCTTGTGTGTCTCCGGAGGGGGAAAGGCTACAGTTTGATTGTGGCACCAAGGAGGGGAGGGGGGCAGCTCTGCAAGAGAGTCAACACGGACTTGAGTGGAAATGCTTTAAACCTTTAAAGAAAATCGGTGTGTGTGTGTGTGTCTGTGTGTGTGTGTGTGTGTGTGTGTGTGTGTGTGTGTGTGTGCGCACGCGCGTGTGTTTGAATTTTCAATAGCCTCTCCACAAAATCTTTGTGCGTGTGTTTGATTAATCAACAGGCACACACAGACACGCTGCTCCCTGTTGTTCAATTCTGCCATCAAATGTACAACTGGCTGCCAACCTTACAGAGAGTGAAAAGTGAGAGGGAGAGACAGAGAAAGAACTGGGACGTGTGATCAATGTTCAACATGGGTTGAGATTAGCTCGGAAGAGCTCCTTTTTCTTCTTAGATTATCAAACGTATCAATTTACACATTCCAACATGCATGTCTCATGGTTAAAATAGCACAAGGTGGTCACAGAAAATGCACTTCAAGTATTTTATCTTCATGCTTAGAGGCTTTCGGGTCATTGCTGATCTCAACAATAATGATTTTATACAGTGTTGAAAAGAATCAAATTTGTTGAACTTGCAGTCTTGCATTATCCACCACCAGCATCAATCTCCTCATTTATCAATTAACTGATTAAATAGCAATCATCCCTCCAGTGGTGTTCCAGAAACAGAAGTTACACACATCAAGTGACGATAAGTCCGTAATCTTAACTAGTCAAACACAAAATCAACACTGGTTGCCCAACAAATGAAGTTCCTCCTGTTTTGTGCTAAATTGTGCAGACTAATACTTTTATTATGAACCTAAAATGCAACGAGGAACCATGTATTTTGTTTCTATTTCATTTTGTTTTGTTTCATAGAGTTCAATATTCTAAAAAAATCTGAGGTTGCGGTTTTGCAAGCTTACATTCAAGAAAACGTTCTGAAGAGCGAGAAGAAAAGTATCGTCGATGATTCAATGAGTGGCTCAATTGTACAGACATGAATAGTTCCTGATAAATTCAAGTTATAATAATTGGGACAAATTCCTGATGTCAAATTTATTAAGTTTAATCATAGTAAGTTTAATCAAACTGCCAATGTGGGGTAAAACAATTTGCATTGGCAAATACGCTTGAAGGTACTCGCGAGTTTCAAAATTCTCGTTGACTAAATGCTACAAATGTTGCATTGTTTTCCCCATAAAGCCACGGGATACTGTTTGTGCATGCGCCAGCAAAAACAAAACAACTAAAAAAACAAAAACACTGTCTTATGACAGTGTTTTTGTTTTTTTATTTTTTTACTGTAAACGCTTTCATTTCCAAGGGCAAGGGGCCTTATTGTCACACCAAGGTTTTTAAGGTTGCACACATAAACCTGGCACTTGGAACACTTGAAATGCAACAATCTCAAGTGCCTTCTTCTGCTACTTGAATTCCCTTTGGGACTCTAAAACTGCAAACTTATCCGATCAAACTCTGTGTGCCAGAAGCTGAGTGAATCCGAATCTTCCCTAAAACTTGTCCTTAACCCTTCCCCAGGACCTTATCCTGATTGTTTGGTGGGTAAACAGAAACTCTCTGCAGCAAAAACAAACAGTGCACATTGTTTGTTCTGGGACCACAATCTCACAGCAACAAGCTGCCTTCTCTCCACCATCCACGGGCTGTATTGGTCTGCTCTGTGTGGATGAAGTGTTTCACCGCAAAAGTTAAAAAGGTGAGCAGTCACATCCCACCCCAGTCAAAACAGAACTGAGTAGCTTTAAAAATCACGTTGGTCGCACATCAGCTTTCAATGATTTCAGTGTGTCTGTCATTGCCATGCGGACCTTGTATGGGGTGAAATATGTGCCTGAATCATTATTTATATTTCAAGTGTATTGACAAACCGAATCTCAATTGCTTGAATTGGTATTGTTTCATTCCAATGTTGACATTGAAAAACTGAATGTGAATTTTCCTGTTTGAATTTGGATTCCTCACAGGAAATTCAATTCCTTGTAATTTTTTTTTACATTCAATTTTACAAATGAAAATTCAAATATTTTCTACACAGATTCAGGTCTCTGTCTTTTCACATTCAGTTTTACAAGTAAAAATAAAAAGGGTCAATTTTCAATGTGCAAATTCGGTTTGTGTGACAAACATCCGCGTACTTGAGGTTGAGCAATCGATTGCAGAGTTCAGATCTCCTCTTGGTCCAATCAGCGTCTTAGTTTTGAGCACACGACACAAGCTCTCCGGGGAAAAAAAAAGTGATCTCCTAATATCTTAATCTATTTTTTTTTCTTCTCCAAACAACTGAACTCAATGCTTCAGGCATTACTGACACTTTGGGGTAGCAACAGTGCACAGCACATAGACAGACAGTAGGGGCTCATCCCAGTTCTATTGATTATTTTTTAAACACGATTCAGTTTCTGGTGGCACATATTTCAGCCCACAACCCTGCATCACAAATGTTAATTGTCTATCAGACAGTTGTCAAACTCAAGGACCGCGGCATGCATGTCCAGCACAAGTCAATACTGTCTCCAAAGACAAAACAAAATACACTCTCATAAAGAACGGAGGTCTTCCAAGGTATTATCTGCATTTATGAAAACATTTCAAACTCAAGCTGCGCTGAAAACTAATTTAAAAGGGCATACAAAAGTTATATTGAGATTTGTGTACGCTCTCGGGGGCTTACTAACATTAAACTCAACTCAACCGTGGAGCTTTACGCTGTTCTTAATGTCCCTCACTTCATGCCCCATTCTCTACTGGTTTTGTCATGTGTCTGTTTCAGCTAAAAGGCGAGATCTGTAGAATTGTCACTCAAGAGCATTTCTGGATGGACTGGATGCTATGGTGCAAAGTCTCTGAGATATACAAAGGAGCTACTGCTGCATCAGGTAGGAGGGTGGGAACAGAAAACTGGTTCGAACTTAGAACCGGTTCCAATGCCGTGTACAAAAGTTCGAATGCTGGTTCCTTTTTTGATTCGGCATCCCCCCCAAAAATTCCAGGGGTGTGGCATGTTTGACCTTCAACTACAGAGCAACTGCTACTGTTGCTGCTAATTGTTCATTGGGGACGATATCGAGGCATCGACATAAACTATATTCTGCATTTGACACAGTCACTCTGCAAGCAACGTTCATTTTGTATTGCGTGAAGCTGAGCTACGTGCAAACATTTTCCATTTTCATGCATGAATTTTAGGTAATGATGATGACACGCTCAGGCAGCAGTCCTTGCGGCTCAGGGAACGAGGTGGAATTCGGGGAGGATGAATGAATGTCACCGGGACAAAAAACAGCCCAGGCATTTTGGGTTGGGATCGGCCACTCATAATTAGCGGAGCATAACCAACTAGGGTTTTTTATGTTTTACAAATTACCCCACCCCCCCAAAAATAAATAAATAAATAAAATAAAAAATATATGTATGTATGTATGTATATGTGTGTGTGTGTGTGTGTGTGTGTGTATACCGAGCGAAAATCCTGTGGGACTTCCAGATACAGACTGACAAGATGGTAATGGCGAGCCAACCGGATGTCGTGATCATAGATAAAGGGCAGAAGAAAGCCGTTGTAGTGGATGTAGCGGTCCCAAGTGATGGAAACATCAGAAAGAAAGAACACGACAAACTTGAGAAATACCAAGGGCTCAGAGAGGAGCTGGAGAGAGCCTGGAAGGTAAAGGTGACAGTCGTGCCTGTGGTGATCGGAGCACTCGGGGCAGTGACCCCCAAACTAGATGAGTGGTTGCAACAGATCCCGGAAACAACATCGGACATCTCAGTCCAGAAAAGCGCAGTGCTGGGAACAGCAAGGATAGTGCGCAGAACCCTCAAGCTGAATGGGGGACTGGCACCACCCGAGGGGTGAGACGAGGATTTCTTTACACACACACACACACACACACACACACACACACACACACACACACACACACTACAATATATTATGTCTTTTTCACTCATTAGGTAATGTAATCTTACCAGTGTGTTAGTTAGAATGCACATTACGCGAGCTACTGCTTCTCTGGCGAACTTAGCTTGGCATAGCTTGCTCCAAAGCGCATCTGCATGGCAAAGCAGTGATCGTGTTTGAGAGTGATGTAACCTGATTATTGTGGGAAACGTGAAAGAAAAATAAATAAGGACCAGGTGAACCTGACAGTCACTGCTGGGTCTTTTTTTTTTTTTAATCAATTCTCACACCTCCCCCCCAAAAAAAAACACATTTCCATTCAAAATCTACTTTTTGATTTGAATGTTGGATTATTTGTTTCATAGTATGATCTCATTTTCGGTCAAATCTAAAACATCTCGTTCTCTTACCTTTATCTCTGTACTTTCCTGTCCTCACTTTTCTTCTTTGAGCCTTAAAAGTCTCTCTGAAGTCTAAATCGAGATTAATCCTAGTAAATCAAGTCTGCCCTCAAGTTCAATTCCGAATGAATGTTTTGAGTCTTTTTAATGCTGAGGGTGATCTTTCCAAAGAAACCGTTGTAGATGGCACAGTGCACACAAGCTGGTGTAACTTTGTCACCTCCCCTACCGTTAGTGAACTATACAGTCAGATGCGATCTGGCTTTAATTTTTCATATCAAAGAAAAGCTAGGCGGCTGTGAAAAAGAAGAAGAAGAATGGTACCACTGTGAACCCGTGTGCTCTCCTACTCCCCCTTCAGTATGGGTGCCACCACTGAGGCGAATAACCTCTAAAAGTAATTATGTTTGGCTCCAATGAATTAATCACAACTCGTTGAAGTCTTTACAGATTTTGTCACCGATTGGTTTATTGTAATCATCAGACGTGGTTATGATAAAAGGCATGAGTTCTCTTAAAATCCGACCCGGAACTGCCGGCTGTGCTCACAAAAGGGAACATTCGATCACATCTTGAGCTCCCTGCCCAGAACACCTGGTGCCAAAATCAGGTGTTAAACCAATTGCAGAGGCCATATCAAGGGTATTAGCAGCTGCACCCGAGTGCAAAACGCCACCAATTCCTTTTGTGATGGCAGGAGTGCAGCCAAGGCCTCGGGCACGAGAATGCAGCAGCAGGGAGCGTGTCTGCAGGCCGGGACTGGCAGCTCCTTGTGGACCTGGAGAATTGGTTGAAATTCCAACGACATATCACCAGTACCACCTTGAGGCCAGATATAATTGTGGTCTCCAAAACTACAAAGAACATCCTCATCATGGAGCTGAAGGTACCACGGGAAAACTGCTTGGGGGAGGCACATGAAAGAAAGAGGACCAAATATGAACACCTGGTGATCAGCTTTTGAGAGCATGGCTGGAAGGTGAAGTGTATGCCTATCGTAGTAGGTTGTGAAGAAGTTGGGGCTCAGTCAGTGCAGAGCCCTCAGCGTGCTGGGCAGTGCATGAGAAGTAAGGACCAGCCAGAGCCATCGAAGACATCAGCGAAACAGCCGAGAAAGCCTTGAAATGACTCTGGATCCAGACAGAAGGTCCATGGGGACAAACGAATAGCACCTGAAAACACACACACACACACACACACACACACACACACACACACACACACACACACACACACACACACACACACACACACACACTAGCACAGCCACCTTATGCTGTGTTTTCTATTCTATTGCTAATTTATTGTATTTATTCTACAAATATACTGTATTGCTAATGCTATATTTTAGATTGCACTTTTTATTGAACTGTGTACAGTTCTTTCTGAAACATTTATTTTGTGCAATGAAACACTTTGTTTTTCTTCCCCCCAATTTTGCTGCTGTAGACTGCAAATTTCCCCAGTGTGGGACAAATAAAGGTTATCTTAACTTATCTATATCGATATATAGATAGATAGATAGATCATTTTTATATAATTTTTTTTCCAGTTATTGATGGGTCTGCTTTGGCCAATATTGTCACTCAACCAGTAAAATCATGTGACAGTGTCCTAACAGGACAATACTTCGCACAACACTATTCTCTACCGAACACCAGAGGCCGGAGCTAAAGGTCCACCTGCAAGTAAATTATTGATGACTTGTTTTCTTTTTTCCCCTGCCCCCACTGCTCAGTCTTCTCTTCTCTGTCTCTCCTCCCGATTGTGTTTACTTACGCTGCCCTCCATTCACACCTTCTACAACCATCCTGACTTCTTCCCCTTTATATTCTCCTTGTTGCTCGGTGGAGAAACTCGGGTATTTCAAGCCTTGGTGGGTTAGGGAGGAAGTGACTGCGATAACCTTTATTGGCAGAGTCCTCATTTAAAATCCCAGCTTTCATTTTCCTCATTCTCAGGTGAAATTGTGCAGAAGCACCTAAGATGACAATGCATGAAATTATTCGCCATATTTTGGGGGGGCTTCATTCTTCTAAATATGTGATTTAGGATGAGCATTTTTTTTATCATTAACTATTACATTAGGTTGGATAATCAACAAAGAAAAACTCTCTCTGATGATAACAGACATACTGCCAGTACTAAATCAGCAGCATTTTAACCGCTGCTTTATTTACAGTGCGGAGCCTGACAGAAACTTTCCTTTACATGCCTTTATCTGAACGAATCCTTTTGCTCTCTGAGTCGCACACAATTTTTTTAACAGTATCTTGGCGATTTCGCTTCAGTTATCGTGAAACGTGTGGTGTTTACATTCCTCTTGATCGGCATGTCGACGAAACGATGTCGTCACTTTGCAATATTCCGACACTTTTCCTGCACACCAAATGCAATCCGAACTGTTTACATGACGTTCTGTTTTTTTGGGGGGGAAATAGAATATTCCACCCCTGTGAAATTCCATTCGGAATTGGCCTTTCCACTTCGATTGAAGTGTTTACATGGAGCATTTTCATTTTTGGTCATTCGGTTTCATTCTCATCGGCAGATATGGGCACTTTCACATATTTTGCCAGGCCGTCCTCCGTCCGCGACCTGGGTACCCTTCCGTCATCGTCCCTCCCTCTTTATTAAAATGTAATAATCATCCTCCACCCCGTCTGTCCTCGTCCTTTTAAAGCGCTTCCGTCCGAGTCCAAAACACATGACATGTCAAGTCAAGTCAAGTACAACTTTATTGTCAAATGTGCGGTATGTGTCACATACAGCACAGATGAAATTTCCTCCCTCTTAAACAGACAACATACAACAAGAGGAGCCGCTGCGGGTGCCCGCGCCGCCATCTGTCTTGACACATTCATTACACAATGCCACACTTAAGAAATGTGCAGGACTCTCGCAAGCAAACATTGACATAGTTATCAGTACCGAAACTTATTTTCAGTAACATCGTGATTAGCTGTTGCAGATAAGACTGGCCATCAATCAAACAAAAGTGACATCACTCTTTCTTTCTATTTTTAATGTCTCAATGGTAAGCAACTCAACATTAGTATTTCACAGCACAAAAATACCTATGATGATCAAATAACAACAATAAAAACTTTACTTTTAGAAATCCGTGCCTCAAATGGGAGGGAATAGGCACCTTTGGTGGGCGGGCCCCGAGAGACATACAACACCGAAAGCTTTCTTAACCACCTGTGTTTACAACGGTTTGATTGTCACTGTAGATAGCATTTAGCTGCCAACACAAACAGCGTTGGTCATCAGACTGAATGGCGAAGTGTAAACTTTTTTGGACGGAGGATGAGCGCTCTCCTCTTGTCTGCTTGAAGCAAAGTGAAGTCACTCCCACATACAAACTCGGTGAAGACACGAGACAAGTAACGCGTCACATTCGATGTGATTGGTGTAATGGCGGATTACACATGTAAGACGGGCTGGGAGTGTTTCTGTCAGTTGTCAGTGAAATGGCTGTCCGTAGGTACATAACCTGGCCGGTTAGGACTAAAGGGAAGGATGGAAACCCACTTACATCTTTGGTTAGTCAATCCTTTTTAAAAAAAGCTTCTCATCCTCCATCTTCCGACAGCAAAATGGGCATCCGTCCAGGATGGACTGTTCCGTCACTGGGACGGAACAGTCCATCGCTGCTAGTCGGAATACAAGTCTCCTGTCAATCTGGCTATTGGCATCAGTCATCGAAACAGCCAGGTGAAACACAACAAAAGTTCCACGGAACCCTAAAATTGTCATGGTTATCAAATTTAAAATGGAACTGCATATTTTTAACACAGTGTAAGATGGACATTTTAAACCGTCTCCCCCTAGAAACAAACCAAATGCACTTATTGACAGTAATTCGCAATTGTTTTCCAATTACATGGGACAGACAGACAGACAGCAGGATGCCCAAATTAGATTCACCACCTACACCAGAGGTAGGGAACTCCAGTTCCTCCAGGGCCATATCCTGCCTGTTTTATAGCTCTACCTACTCCAAAACATCTGATTCAATTGATCATGATCGTTTCAAGCTTCGACAGAGCTTTCTGATGATTTGAGAACCAGTAGCGTTGGTGTAGGGAGGGATCTACAACAGGCAGGATATGGCTCTCGAGGAACCGGAGTTTCCTACCCCTAACCAAGAGAAACCCAAACAGTATCTTTAGGGGGAAAAAAATCCTCGAGAACAGACCCACTGCATCTTTTTCTCATATTGGGTGAAATCAATATTACTAGTCTCCCCCCACTCCCTTCAAAGAGACTGTCACTGTCGTTTATTAGGTCTCAGATCCCACAGGATGAACACGTGAGAAAGAGAGAAAGGAAAAAGGATGTGATGTCGAGAGTTGGCAAACGAAAGTAGTTCCAAAAAAATTAGCTCTCTATGCTACTTTTCCATTTGCCAGCATAAGAGACGAGCATACTAAAGGAAAAGGCTTGAACTCTGCTGTGTCCTCATCCAACATTGTGTCATTCAGCACCTCAGTTGAAGCCTAATCCAGTCTGATCTGCACATCATATGAAAATCTTAGCTACATGGATGTCACTGAGAAGTTGCACCCTGCCAAGAGCACAACTTAAAGAGTGTCTGCAAGGCATTGCGTTTGCTGGCAAGTCTGCCACCATGCAGCTACAGCTGCTACAATAATACTCATTTTTCGCCTCATTGTCATGACATTCTTTTCCACCTCTTTGCAGTTAACTACAGTACATCCCAGATCACAATCTGACACAGAAAAGGTAGCTGATAATTCTAAACATAAATACTTTGTACTCACAGTCGGGATAGGGATCACGCTGGCCCGCCAATAGCGAAAATCTGCGTATAAATGACGCCCATTGAAATGCATTGGAGGAAAATGATCACTTTATTTTGTTTTAACCCAAACGCTGATAAATATTCAATCAATGTTTTCAATGAAAAATGGGGAGAAATGGGGGGGTGTTGAAATATTTTTTAAATGGAAAAAAAAAACCATTCAAAACCGCAGGTGCCGAACCGCGAGTATGCAGGGGTCTCCTGTACTTTTATGCAGGATATTTCAAAAGTCAACCATTCCTGCCAGATCGCCTTTATGCTATATTTCTCTCTTTACCATGGTGTGGTTGATGAGGAATGAACAAGCCTTTGAGAAATCACAGCACAATGCCACCTGGGAAGGGGACGCGAAGAGGTAGTCAATCGAATGCTATTCACTTTGCCCGGTATGCTGCTCCAAATATTGGTGATGAGGTGGGTGTAGCGGACCTTGGAAGGGCTATCAGGATATGCTGAAATGAGTGATGACACTGAAGTTGCTGGAAGGAGATGATTGTGTGTGTGTGTGTGTGTGTGTGTGTGTGTGTGTGTGTGTGTGTGTATGTGTGTGTGTGGCAGCAGCAGCAGAGCAATAGTGGCGTAGTTGTGGGAAGGGGAAGGCGGGACGAGGGTAAACCGAGTTGAGGCGGTGGTCACGTAATAGACGGGTTCAGGCAAAGTTGAAGCTGCTGCCTCACTGGGCTGCATCTGGTAACATTTACGTCGACTGCTGCCCTGTAAATAGTGTGTGTGTGTGTGTGTGTGTGTGTGTGTGTGTGTGTGTGTGTGTGTGTGTAGAACAGTTAAAAGGCATAA